TTCACACTATCACAATAGCATAGTTGGGAATTTTCTCTGCTTAACAAATGAGGGAACTTGGATATAGCGGTTTGCTGTGAAACAGGCAAAGAAATCAGAAATCTGCTTTTTTAGAGCACCTCTAAAGAAAGAGACAGGAGGAAACACTGACTCTAAAAGTGAGAATCAAAGGGAAAATCTCTCTGCTGGATCCCAAATAAGTTTCCATAGAAACAGATTTTTCTGAGAATGAATAACTGCAGTATGAAATTAAGATTGTGGATCTAATTCTGCAAAATATTTAAGCATGTTCTTTGCTTATCCCTATTCAGCTCAGGATGCAAGCATATGATTTTCATGGAGGCTTATGTGCTTTATTTGATGGAGGTAGAAATAAGGATAAGCTGTGCTGAAGTGGGATCTGGGCTTTCCTGTGCTTCTTCCTTGTCACTGACAAACTTGCAACTTATTTTTTTGTGACAGCATGTGTTGCATTGCTGCCAAAAGTATAGGCCCCATTGCCTCAATCTGAGAGTTCAGCACAAAGTTCCATCAGACTCTTGCCACTACCAGGGAGTGGAGTCAGCAGAGCATTTGCATTGCTGGGTACTTTATTGTTTTGTTAATTAACTTTTTTTCTATTTACGTGCAGATTTAATTTTAAATGGGATATTTATTCTGTAAATGAATGCCACGGTGATTATCAGATAATTAACTTGAGAATTGATGGCATAAGAAGTTGAGATTTGCTCATAATCTGTCTTTTGTGCACCTCTATTTGTGGCCCATAGATATTTTAAAGACAGGATAGGTTCTTAATATTTTGCATGCTAATTGCTTTTATTGTGACTGTGTGCTGGTAAATGATTGGGTTTAGTTTAAGCTATTTAAGATTATTTTGAATATCTTTTTTCCCTCCTCTCTGTTGTGACTTCATGCTCAGCTGAATTAATAGGACAAATAAGGTTTGACTCAAAGTTTTATTTCCATTTACTGTACTTGGAACAGATGAAGCTCTTGTGTAGCCAAGCTGTGGCTGCTCTTCTTCATGCAAACTTTCCATGTTCTTATTCCCTCTTTATTTCACATTGTCTTCCTGCTCTTTATTTGAGGAGGTGTGTATTTGTTGACCCCTCCCAAGCCTTTGCCAGCAGCACTATAGAGCCCAAAAAATGAACTTAAGCCTAGTGATAATAGTGCTTTGGGACTCTCTTGAGACAGTGAAGAACAAATAATCCTCATGGAAATTGCATCTAGTTTTCTTGTTCCCTTTCTCTGAGCCCTTGTGCTTGTCCCAGCCAAAATAAACTCTCAAGGCATTTAAACCATCCATCTTAATGTAGTGTTCAAACATGGAATCTATTGACTTGCTTGAGTCCAGATGAACAATCTCCCCCTGCTTGTCTCCCACCAGTGCCGTGGCTGCAGGGGGTTCTTGCATGCACTGGGGTGGTGATGGTCACTGATGGTGAAGCTGCTGCTGGAGCTGAAACTGGAGGTGGAGCAGCAGGAGCTGAAACTGTCCCCTTACACAGCTGGGCTTCTGTTTTCCCTTACAGCTGGAATGTGTACTTTCTCAAAATTTCCTGTGGAAGACGCTTCATCTCCCGGAGATTTGGTTGTTCCTCAGTGCTTGCTGAGAGCCACACTCGCTTTGCAGGCATCTCCTCCTTCCTGCTTTGGGGCAGACTTTTTGTTTTGTCAGTGCCTTCCACGCTGTTACCATCAAAGGTGCACACCAGTGATGGCAGAAGTTATGTCTATCCTTTCAGCTCCAAGCTCTTTAAGGTGTGAGGAAAGGATGCTGTCGAAGGAAATTACATTCCTTCAGCAAAACCACCGAGGGGAGCCTAATGGACAGTCTTTCTCCTCGGAGGATTTCAAATCCCTGAGGAGGCCGTGACCTATGTCAGAGTACAAAGTCTTGAACAGATTTGCATGGGGAAAGCAACTTTCAACACCCTTTTGCTGCCTCCTGCTCCTGCACACTCGGCAGCGGCGGCCACCCAGCGCAGAGGCTCACCCTGCCCACCCCCCAGCCAGGCTTGCCCTGGTGCCCCCAGGAGGCACCTCAGGCCCCTGGGACAAGCTGTGGTGCTGTGCACACCTTCCTCCACGCTTCAGACCTGAGCCAGAGGGGTACATCCCCACCCAAACCAGCTCTTCTGGCCCCCCAGCCAGGCACGTTTCCCCTCTGAGGTTGCAAAGCCTGCTGTTCTGCACGCCCACTTGAAGTCACGAGGATGGATAAAAACAATCTATTTTTAATCCAGTGCGAGATCTCTTACTCTTGGCTATTTTTTCCATAATTGGTTCTGTTTTCTGCTAATGATCTGAAATTTAGCATCTATTTCTGCCTCAGATATTTGGATAACTGGTGATAAGGAAGATTAAGACTGTTGATAGCAGTGAAGGCTGCAGGACATATGGATGCTGCAGGCCTGTTAGTGATAGACAGAAAGTTGTTTGGAGGCAGCGGGACAGATTGTCTGGGATTCCTGGCTTAGTAGCAATGAAAGACTGATGAGGTAAGTAGTGCTGGGAAAATCCTGTTAAGGGAAGGAAAAGAGCAGACTGGAACTGATGATCACTGGACGCGCTGTATTGAATATACAGTTTCTCTACAAAACTGAATTCACTATTGGCACAGAAATGGGATTCGTACTTCTCTCCCTACTCCACTTGCTTCATTAGCAGGCTTGTAAGGCACTCTGAACTTTCCAGCATTTAGTAATGGATTAGGACCAAAAACTTCGTGGCAATTGGTTCGGGTTTGGATTGGACATTTCCACCTCCATCCCGTTTGCAGATGCCGTGGCACGGGATGAAGGATTCAGAACAATATCCCTAGGTCCGGTCTCTGTTGATATCATGGAGGTCAGAAGCTCCAGTGTAGAAATGTTCCTTGCTGAGCTGTAGGGGAGCTATTTCCAAATTCAGGCAGGGCGCTAAGGGCACTAGAAATGTGTGCACACACATATGGTGAAACCTCTGGATAACTACCAACACCATCACTCCAACACTGGGAACTGCCCTGTAGCTGGAGCCCATGTTTCCATGTTGAGCATGTTTTGCAGCTCTCTTTCTAAAGCACTTCCCTGGCTCTGTTTGGTCAAAGGGTCGTTGTGTTACTCTACAATGAGTAGATGAGCTGTGATTTCTTTGGGACAGGGTTGGGTCTGGTGATTTGTGTGCTGCTGTGAGTGTAAGAGTTGTGTGATCTCATGGTGAAAGGTGATTACTGTGAAGTGCAAAGGGACAGATTAGGATAAATGACACAGAGGAGTCTGTATCCAAGAGCTGAGTATGTGGGTGTAATATCCAAAATCCTTCAGGTATGTTCTTAAATACATCCTCTTCCATTCCCTGCACCTTTCTGATTAGTGACAGCAAACTGGCAGGGTTGTCTCCCTTTTTATTTTCTGCTTTTTCAGGAGGAGATGGGAGGAGAAGCAAGGGAACAAATCCTTCTGCAGAAGAAAAGAAGCAGCAAGGGGTCTGCAGACAGAGACAACGCTTCTCCTGTCAAGGGCATGTGCTGTCTGGTCATGGTAGAGTCGTGATTCCTTCTGGTGAGAGGCAGGGGAGGGGATCCTGGGAGGGATAGCTGGAGGCACTGTCCCTGGGTAGCAGGGGAAATGCCTGTGAATGGGGATGCACAGGGGCCAGGAGGGGTGAGGACCTGGAGGGAAGCTGGGGTCTGGAGATGGAGCTGGTCTCAGAAGCACAGGACAGCCCAGGTTGGAAGAGACCTTGAAAAATCATCTGATTCAACATTTCATGGGAAAGAGAGAGTAGATGACATTATCTAGCACCCTGTCCGGTCATGTCTAGAAAACTTCAAGTGATGAGGGCTCCACTACATCCCTGGAGAGGTTGTTCAAGTGATTCACTGCTCTCACCGTAAAAAGTGTATTTATTATATCAAAATGAAATCTCACCTTGTGCAACTTGTACCATTGCCCCTGTCCTCTCCATGTGGCTCCTTGTGAAGAGAGAACCTCTGTCTAATTTGGAGCAGCCCTTTAGGTACTGGAAAACTGTGATGAAGTCCCCTCCTGAGCCTTTTCCAGGGGGAAAAGATCTAATTACTTCATGTTTTCCTCATATGGTAGGATCTCATATGGTAGCACTTTGATCATCTTTGTGGCCCTCCTTTGGTCCTTTTCCAGTCTGTTCATGTCTTTTTTTGAATCATGGGGACCAGAACTGGATACAGCATGGCTGGATGTGGCCTGAAAAGCACTGAGCAGAGTGGCATGATCACATTTCTATTTTTGCTAGCAGTGTCCCTGTGGATATGTCTTTGTCACTGCAGTGGGGCACTGCCAGCCTGCCCATCGGGACCCCCTGATCCTTGAGTCCCTCCGTGCAGCCAAAGTCAGGAGAGCCCCAGGGAGCAGATGGTTTGTCTGCAGGGTTTGTGTTACTGTGGGGGCACTGCTCAGCTTGGCTGCCTGCCACACTGCAGGGCCTGCACATCCCCACAGGGAGAGGGGAGCCAGCCCAGGCGGCAGGGGTTGTTTGCACGCTGAGGGAGGACAAAGCCATTGCAACGTGGGTCAGGAAGTCCTTGGTGCAACAGGAACCCCAAGGTGCTGTGACGTGTCACCTCCCACCCCTGCGGAGAAGCAGCTTCTCCTTTCTGGTGGGAAGTGCTGAGGCCTGGGGCTGAGGGAGGCCAGCAACACCCACACTGTGGCTCCTGCCTTGCAGATCTGCTGCCTGCCACGGCAGGCCCTGTGAGTACACATCTTCCAGGCAAGGCTCTGTCCAGCTGGCAGGAACATTTGGAAAGCATTTTCCTTGATTCTTGTAAAATGCCATTTTCCTTTTCTTTTCAAAATCTTCCCCATCTCTGAGTTGCATCCCAAGTGTCCTTATAAAGCCATCACTTTCCTGCCTGCCTGCCTGGCCATTTCTGAGCTTTTCATGCATCCTGGGAGTGAGCTGAACACGAGCCTTCCTGTTTCCCTTGCTGCAGCTCAGCACCCTGTCAGCCACAGTGAACCTGCAAGTGTCTTGTCAACTTTTTGCTACTCTTGATATAAACCCTGAACCCCTGTGAAAATCTGGCAGCTGCGTGAGCTGCAGACTCAGCAAGGTGGGCAACATCTGGCAATAGATACATTTGGCCAGAAAGACAACCTGGAAAATGAGAAGGGCCACGTGGTGCTGTGGGAACACTTGCACGTCCCACAGCATCTGGCAGGTTGTGGTTGAATGTGAAGCTATCCTTCTCTTCTGCAAGACAGAGGGGAAGCAGAGCCCACTGAGCATCTATCATCTGATAGACACAAAGTTTGGACTCTGCAGCTAGATATTTTACTTTTTTTAAGGACTGTTGTGAAAGCAGTTGCTCAGAGCATCTCACAACTCTTTTTTGGACAAGCTCTTGATGCTCTTCACTGGACAACATTTTTCCCAGTCTTAGAAGATTGAAATGGGTTTAAGCATGCAGGAGCCTAGAGGTGTAAAAGCACTGATTTTCCAAGTAACCCATACTGTGAGGTCTGCTTAAATATTTGAGCACTGAGTCACCTGTACTTAAAAGAGAGCAATTAAGGAAACTAAATATGTTCTTGAAGGGCTGAATAATTCCTTCACATCTGTTTCCACTACAAAGATGGCTCTGGAGGGGCTTACGCAGATCTTGCCCTTTTCTGGACCAAGAGAAAATAGCACCAGAGACTGAGAGAGGAGCAGCTGGGACAACCAGACTGTGTCAGTCTCATTAAGCTTCCAGGTCATGATGGTTTACAGACAAGAGGTCTTGGGGAAGATGGGGATGAAAGGGCCACATCTCTGAAAGAAATATTTCTCTCATTGAAGAAAAAAGAGCCCCCCCCTAAAAAAAATTGGGGAAAAAAAAAAAAGGAAAAGTTAAAAAGAAAAAGCAGTGTCTGATAAGGATGGAGAATGTCTTACTCACATTTTTAACAGCTCTTGGGATGATGTGGAGAATTACAGGCCTGTTCGACATGCATGCAAATGAATGCAGTGCCTAGCAAATTAGAATTGGCCATGAAGCTGACACAGGTAACGCTGCTCAGGCGCGCAACCTGCAGAGATTCTGCAGCAGGAACCCACATCTGCTGAATTCTTGCAAGTCTTTGAAGAAACCAGTGAGTTAGCTGAAAAGGAAGACCCCTCTGACATAATTTATTTACCTTTTTTGGCAGGCTTTGTGCAAGTTCACGTTCAAGACGTGGCTGCAGGCATCCGGCTAACAGTGGAGGAAGTGGCTTATCTCTGTGGCTCTGACACCCGCTAGGACGTGAGCAGGTGGTCAGCAGTGGCATGGGATGAGGTGCCAGTGGCGTGGCTTGATCTCCCACGGTAACCTCTGGGGACAGGGAGAAACGTGCTGAAGCTGCAGTGAGGCTCAAGAAAGAGGAGAAGTGGGTGGAAGACCTGTGAAGGAGGAAGCAAGGGATTCAGTTGGAGGGTAGAAAGAAAAGGAGCTGACAGGAAGGGGTACCTGTCCCAAGGGTGGTGCTGTAAAGAGGTACTGAGGGGTGAAAGTCGTTGTCTCCTCAGCATTGTGTGTTTATGTCCCTGATGCTGAAGACCTGGGTGTGTGGGACACAAGCAGGCTGGCAGCAGGGACAAAGCTGCTTTGCCAGGCGATTTCAGGGGTCTATCTTAGACCAGTCCCACAGGAAATGCTGAAGGAAATTCAGAATAGGAGATGATCCAGAAAAACAGTATGTGGGGAGAAGAGAGTACCCCCTTCTTGGTAACATCTGAGTCGATAACCTCCAGGCACAGAGGACTGGGCTCTTGCTGAGCCACCGAAGCACATCTGATCAATAGCTCAAAGTCCCGACTTGCACATTAGCAGAGTCAATTATCAGCTCTGCCCTCTGCTTCCTTGATTATTATTTCAGCATGTAGCAGCTGCTTCACAAGCGTTATGGCCCATCACACTCTGAAGGGACTGAGTTAAATGCAGATTATTGACCGATGAGGCCATAAGAATGTACTATAAAATATACAGCCATGTTCACCCATAAATCCCCAACGAGAGTGCTTTTCAAAGCAATTTCTCCTATGGTGGGACTCTGGGTCACTGTCAAGGCCATGAAAAATGTTTTTTCCGCCTTATTCCTGCCATCTCCTCTGTGGTGGTGGTGTCTCTCTTGGAACTGCATCTGCCCATGAATGCATGGTTCTGCCTCCCTCGAGCTGCTCATTGGGGCCCCTGGGCCTCAGCAGGGACACTTGGGGCATGGGTGATTCTGCACGTGGGCAAGGTGAACTGTAATTAATGTTTCTGCTCTGGCCCCAGGTCTTCTGCTGCTCCTGAGTTTCCCAAGTTGCTTCAAGTTCCTCAGTTTTGGCTCAGGTTGTGGGCTTACATTTTGCAGCAGCCTGAATCCTGGCTAGCACAGGCAGGTTAGATCATGAGTTGTTTGAACACTAGGTAGTGACAGCTTTCCCTGCTCTGCCAGTCTGATATGCTGCTGGCCATCAGCCACGTGCTTCATGGAGGCAGGCGAAAGTGTCGGGGTTGTTTTGGTTTGCAAATCTCCTCAGCTTCAGGATACAAATCTATGTCAAGGAAAAGGGTGCGTGTCCTTATGGTTATGAACTGGGAGTGCTGTGTGTCTATACTGAAAACCTCTCTCCTCTGAAGATGCTGGCAGCTGGGCCAACAGCTCATTAGAGCTTAGTGGTGTCCAAAACCTTTAGAGCAGCCTGGGCTCATCCTGGGCAGGTTGATAGTCACTGCAAGCATAGCACACACTCTGACAGCTCCCATCCCACTTCTGATCTAGCAGCTAGGCATAGGAGAATATCACTTGTTTTGACCACTGCCCCCAGGCTGAGGCTCGCTGTTTTACCCCAGGCGGTAAAGTTTCGTGCCCTTGAAGCTAGATCCCTGCTGCTGGCAGCCTGCTGAGGCTTCCTTACTGCTTCTAAGGGTTTCTTGATCTGCTTCTCCCCAGGGTGCTCCCCTTCCAAGGACAGGAGAGGATTTCACGTGCTTTGAGCTGGAGAGAGAGCTAATTTAGAGCTTGGCGCATTACAAAAGTTTTGGGGTTTTTAGTATAGTTTGGACATGACTCTAGGATGGTTTCTTTCCTAAGCTTTCCCAAGTGCAGCATCCTGGCCACAGGTCTGATTGCAAGTGTTTTTAAAACCTTTTGCTGTTGGAGCCACTGAGATCCTTGGGGTCAGGCACTTGTGAGTTCCCAGGGAGGCTTGAATCTGCCAGGCTGGTGCCAGCAGACCTAGGGGAGTCCTGCTGATCACAACTCTTGGGATCTGGTCCTGAGCCCCAGGTACTGCAGCCTCTTCAATTCACACAGAGAAAAGCATAAAGAGGTGTTCCTTGTTGTTGCAGGGGCAGCACGGAAACTCTGTGGATGTTTCTTGGAGGCGAAGAATAAACTTCCTGTTGTTTTCTACACTGGTATTTACTGCTGTGAGAGGTGCCTGGCCTTCAAAAAGGACCGTGATGGCTCACTGATTGTGCTGGGAAGCAGAGATGATCAGAGGAGTAACAAGAGTTGCTTCATGTAACGGGGGGTGGAAGAGAAAGGGACGGGCTGGCCCCTGAATAACAATGCTGTGGGAGTCTGGGCAGGATGGCCAGGGACCAGGGAAGTGGGAGCTGTGTTCTCAGCCTTGCTCCCCATCTTTGAGAGGGTGTTCTGGTCTCAGCACTGCCTCACAGTTCAGACCTGTTCTTCTAACTTTCACGGAGGAAGGAGGTGACTGTCATGGGGGCAACCAACAAGGCTGATACAGTCATGTTGTGTGTTTGTGTCTCACTCCAGCTACCTCTGAAGAAGTTAACACAGTTGTACTGCTTGGTCCATGTCCTGTCCCTTGTCCCACCCATGTTTTCCCCCCTCTGTAAACTGTCCCAGGAAGGGCTGTGCACAGCAGCCCACGGCAGGGCCACCGAGGGGCAGCTGGTGGAGCGGTTGCAATAGGATCACATCATGTCTTTGAGAGCTGTGAACTCCCTGGTGTTTATATTCTTTAGCTCCCTTTTCATCTCGTTTTGTGTTCCTGGGGCTGTTTGTCTGTTGACACACATGCTTGCCCTCAGCTGTGTCATGCACATTTACTTTCACTGCCAGGATAAATCTCTCATACCATCCCTGCATAAGCTCCTCTCCTTTCCCTTCTCTTCCATGCCCTGCATACACTTGAAACACCTTTGTTTAAACATCCTGGAAAAAGAGGTTTCCTGGTGATAGAATTGTCTCCATATCAAGGACATCACCGCAGCAGGGCTGAACTCATCAAGGAGGAACACAAACTTTTGAAGACTGTCCAGGAAAGGATCACTGTGAAGTGACCTCTGTCCCTTCAAAGGCCCGAGGTATGGGGGAAAGCCAGTGAGCTACTGATTGGGGTTTTTTTCTTGCCTTTCATTGTTGTAGAAGTCTAGCCAGCTTAGAGACTCATAATTGCCTCAGTAACCCACCTGGAGATCCAAACAGTATCCCCAGCACGTTATGTATGCACTGATGTTCATTGTTGCGTCTGCCTGCTCTAGAAATGTCAGGCTACACGTGGTGAGAGTCCCGTGGTGTGATGTGAAACCTCCACATGAAGTGCAAGCAACTGAAACCACACGACACCAGCACATGTTGACCACGTGACACTTCCAGTCCTGCAGCAATGTTCAGAACAGCTTCCTTTCACTTCTCTTAACACCTTCTATGACCCCACAGTCAGACTCGTGTGCTACACCCGTAGCTGTCACCTGGTTGACGTTGATGGGTGCATGCCAGACCCACACTGTTTTATACAGTGATCTTCAGGTTGAATCTTCTCACAGCTCCCTGGTCACCTTGGATATGTTCTTCCCTTCAGCCTGAGGCGGTCACCTGAATACCAACACGCAAGTATGGAATTGAATCTGGTTATGTTGGCTCCTGCAGGGATGCAGGTTAGGCTCCCATAACCCTAACTGTGTCCTTTGATGTCTGAGGCATGTGAAAATACTTCAGTTTTTGGAGAGGAAGAGGCTGGCAGGGAATACAAATGAGGTTTGCTAAACCACAGAGGCAGGAAACAGGGAATTGTTATTCTCCCAACCCTGCAACGTGGCCACTGTGTGACACTCGCTGAGACTCCTACACCTCTTTGGAGAAAAGCTACAGGAGGAAGCAGCTCTTCTTCACGCAGCAGGGCCTGGATACCTGACCTTCTCTGACCCCCAGGGAGGCAGGCAGCCCCAGCAGGCTCAGGCAGGGTGAGAGGCATTTGAGGACCACACGGTCAGGACTGGGATATTCAAAGGGATGGGAAGTGCCCTCTCACAGCCCTAACTGTGAGAGGATGGGAGCTGTGGGAGGATGGTAGGGACAGACCCTAGGAGTGGTTGACTCCGTGTACTCTTTCTCATGGCCACAGTGGGGGATTGGGCTAGACAGCCCATCAGTGTGACCTGCACAGGCATTTCCTAGGAATCTAATCCCAAGAATTAAAACCTTGAGAGAAATCTCCCTCTCTCCGAACAAAACCGAGGATTTGGAAGCTGAGAGGTAATACAGACAGAGGGAATTATCGGGAGGTTAAACATGAGAAATCACACTGGTGTCCTCAATCTTTCTGCTCCCGATTGCTCCGCTGTGGCAATGTTTAAGATTGTGTCCTGCTGGGTGATGCCTCATCTTTCCCACTGCAAAACAGGGGCCGTGGTTTGCGGTCGAGGGCCCCACTGGTGGCAGTGACCCAGAGAGAAATGAACAAGCTGAAGCCTCTGATTAAAAATGCCCCCTTTGGGGAGGGAGGACATGCTTAACTGTGCCCTGGAGAGCCGTAACTGCCTGGTGGCAGCTGAGCAAAGGCCAGCGTGGCGACGGGGGTCTCAATCCTCTCTCTGCTTGCCCACATTTGTGGAAATATAGGATATAAGTCAGGGAGACCTTAATATAGCTGAGACTGCAACCCTCTCAATCAAATTTCATTGCAACTTGAAAAAAGGGCGGTGAGAACACATCTGTGAGGGTGGGCAAAACACTCTCAGGCCTCCTTACTGACGAAACCAGCCAGGAAATAAAACCTCACCTGGAGTGAAGCTTCATCCAGGGGTGCTTTTGAGGCTGGCAGCTGCAGGGTGGCTGCTGACACCGCCCAGCCATGCGGGGGTGGCACTGCCTGCCTGCTGCCAGACAGGCTGGTGACTCCACTGGCACATGAACGCATGCAGGCTGCAGCTGCCAAGCCCTCGATCAGATGTGTCAGCCGGGAGGTGCTGGAGGGGAAGGAGAAACTCCCTCCGTGGAGCAGAGGCACCATTGGCCCAGCCTCAGCAGAGAGACATGGTTGTTTATAAAGCATGGCTGAAGCACATGCAATCTCCAAATAAGCAGGAAAGACTTACGGATGCTCATGCCTGCAGATTGCAAGGCAGGGGAGAGGTAAGGCAGCCACATCTGGAGATCGAGGCTGGAGTGGCTGGTGACACAGAGTTGAGTTGCCTGGTAGAGGAGA